CTGGTCAGGACAATTTGATTGAAAAATATCAATTTGGTAGGATTTGATTACTCAGAATTGAAATGTTATAACTTTCATCCTGATGAAAAGTTTGAATTTTTTTCCACTGAGTGGAAATCATTCGTTAACCTTCCATTATCGATAATATATTTTTGATATGTCTCCATGTAAGTATCCCTATTATAAACAGATATGTGTCTTGGGGTGATAATTACAATCAATCAATTGGAGCCCTGAGAGGTCATAAATGAATTTAGTGAAAAATCATTTGCGTTCTACTAGTGTCTGGAATTTTTGCCACTCCCATCTACAGGAATCTAAAGGAAATATCAAAATAAAAAAAATGAAAAGAATACAACGTATTCAGGTTAGTATGAAGTGGATCCCAATGGGCATATTTATGTACGTTGATCTAACGTTTATTCAACATTGAATGGGGGGAAAATACGTCATTCTTCGATTTTTCAGCGTTGTAAATCTGATTATGATAATAACATATAATATGAATACGTATTAATAACATAATTTTAACGTGATGATCTATAACTATTCTTTCTGCGACATATTTACCGTTTTTCAACGGATGATTACTCAACCATTTCCCAACTTTTTCTCGATGTATTGGGATGTTAACTAGATCTGGGATAAATCACATTGATTAAGTTTTGAATTGGATCTCATCACTAACATTCAAGAAATGTATTTGAAGGAAACTTGGAAATCTGTGACGAAGTCAACGCGAGAAAATATAAAAATGGAATATTCAGTTATCGTTCTGAGCATGGAAAGTAGTACATTAAAAATACGTTTGGAACGGTCAAAAATGACTGAAATAGGAAGAAAGAATTCAAGAAGTATAGAGGATATGTACTTGTAGGTGATTAATATAAACTTTCTTCGATGTAAATGGAATCGTAGAAAAACATTTTAGTAGAGTATTCGAAAATTCAACAGTTAAGTTTCATCTTTCAGAGGTGGAAACAGTTCTGTGAGCTAACCAGATTGTGAAATTATTTTGATGATTGAAAGCAATGTTGTGGTATAGTCAGACTAGTGACATTTTGGGGCAAATCCTCTGGTTTGTCCTTCTTACACGTATTATGAAATTATATTCATATTTTTATTTCATAGAAACGCGTAGAGAAAATCCCAAAAATTCTGGAATAATGAATGTACAATTTCGTCGATTAACCTACAGACAGTATGTGAATTGTGTTGTTTATGTTATGTCTAATTCTATAATCTTACTTTCATTGAGGATTGAACTGAAGTAACTTCTATTAGGCAACGTCTTCTGCCTCTGGATCTCCCGTCTTTCACTTCTGGCCTCCAAAGTTTTGCTTCCGCCCTCGACAATGTTCCTTTGGTACGAAGGCAGAGACAAAATGTGCCTATAAACCTTACCCCTATCAGACACGAACACCACTCTAAGTGTATTCTTCTCCACCACATTCAACATACTCTCAGCCCACGACCAATGTTTGTTCACTGAGTCGATGAGGCCCTGTGCTGGGGTTATTTCACCAGAGTTGACCAGCTTTGCAAAACATCCCAGGGCACTCAGCTCATCTTGGTTCATCCTTGCCTTGATGGATTCTATGTGCCATGAGGCGGCATGGGAAGCGGTGAATATCTTGTTGAGGTAAGGTCTCAGGATTGGGCCCAGGCACTTCTTGTTTTGGTCCATGCCTCGGTATAACCACTTGAGGATGGTTTTCACCAGAACCAAGTCATCTTCGAAGTTCAAAGTCGCTAGTTCTTTGTCCTTTCTTATCAGTTCGACCAGTTTCGACGTGTAGTTGTTGAAGTTGCATTTGATTTTCAGTCGGTTTTTTATTATGTTTGGATTCTTCTGGGTTGTCAGGTATTGATCTCTTGCTTGGTCCATGATGGTGACTAGAATGAATATGAGATCTTCCAGGTGATCTTGTTGGTGATAGGCTAGATCGATGTCTTCTAAGATACAGTGGTCAACCTGAAATTAGGGTGAAACTCTATTATAATGTTGAAGATATACATATGATATATAAATAGTATATTGTGCAACAAGTGGGAAAAGTCAAACTTTTCTCACGAGTGTGAATGTTTGTGGAGCCTGATCATGTCCCTATCCCAACTTTTGATTTACTATCTACTGATATTTAATTGGAACAGATACAAGAGTGATCAGCATGCTGAATCTTGAACAAATCTGTATTTGTTAGACCCCAAGTGTGATGCATTGATGAAATCAGCTCAAAAAGGATAATGCGAAAATGCAATGAAATACAGGGTATCCCCTAAGAAAAAGTATAACTTTGATACGCCACGCATTTCTGGGCCACCCTGTATAAAGCGAAATAATTTGGAAATGTGCTGCTCATGATCCTAGATCATCTCTGGAACTTTTGTATATCTATCTCAAACTGTAAAGCCGTTATCTCACTTTGCCACACTAATGACTCATCCTGTATAGCTGAACAGTTATATAATAGTTATTCCACGCATAAAGAGAAAACAAAAATTTTTGTAATTTTCAACTACTGAAGAAGATGAAAAGTTACTATGCAAATTTCTATTTTGGTTCAAATATCTCGATAACTGTTCATTTCAGCTCAGTTGAAGGTGATTTATTTTTTGAACATAATTGAACAATCAATTCGAGAAATTGGAAATAATTGAAATTTCATTAGTGGCGTAGAAAATATGGGCGGAAAAGTTCACAACCCTCTGTAGCGCACCTCTGGATAAAATTATCGGAATGTCTTTCTGGTCAAAAAATTAACCCTTGACGGCTCACATGTCCCTATCTTAACTTTTGATTCACTATCTACTGACATTTAATTGGAACAGCTACAGGGTGATCAAAATTCTGAATCTTGGACCATCCTGTATTTTTTCCAATTAAATGTCGGTAGATAGTTCATCAAAAGTTAATATAGGGACATGTAAGCCGTTTTGACCAATGATGAATAGTTTCGACACAAAAAAATCCTGAAGTTGAAAAATCTCGATTTTGAACACCCTATATCTCTGTAATAATTCCTGCTAGACCCCAAGTGTGATGCATTGATGAAATCAGTTCTTCGAGAAGAATCTAAAAACGCAATAAAATACAGGGTGTTCCATTTGAAATAACAAAGATGATGCTACTTTTTGGTAAAAGTGGCAACGCTGCATCGCTGAAAATATTTTGAATCGTCAGATCACAAACGCTTATTAGAGTAACCAAATTTTCAGGATAATCCAATGTACCGTTTTCCGTATACGTCTAAGGTACCATCGACCGTATGCCACCCTGTATATATTTGATCACTTCAAAAGGATGATAAAGATCCAACGCAGGTCTCATCACTGTTAAAAACTTCAAATCTCACTCCGATAATTTTGTGATCTTAATATAATATAATATCTTCTCGATATTGATTCGTCCTTCTTCCTGTCACAGAAAAAACTAGTGTATTATACACGGGAAAAATATTTGATTTTAGCTCACAACCTGGAGCTGAAATCTACTACTTTTTTACCTTGTATAATGAATAACTATAATTCTTGCCTGTAAAATATGCTGCCTCACATTCAACATCTTATTCAGCACCAATCCGATATACTCTAACTGCCTGAAAGTGTACTGGGTGTGAGCGATATCTTGTTTGTTTTTTGCGCCAGCGAAACAAAATCTTCTTCCTCTGGTGCCTGGTGGGGGAAGCAAACCTTCTACTAGCTCCCTCCATTTGTATAGAAGCATCATTTCGCTGTTTTGGGTGGACAATAAGGTCTCAAAATCTTTATTGCCTGAAACAATATTTTTGAGCTATCAGTCTACAGCGTGTCTCACTTTAAACGGCCCCTCCCAATAAGTATATCTTAGCTATTAGTCGTGCAATTCTCACAAAATTCGAACTAGTATGGAGAAACATCAATTTTGGAAGACAAACATCATTTTGGACAAAGCCGTGCTTTTCATTGAAATAAAAATGGGTCGATTTTTCATGATATCATACAGGTTGAATGACAAAAAACGCTCGAAGCCTTAGCGCCTCGATAAATTATGTGATTTTGGAAAACAAAGAAGCAAATGGAATTATCTATCAGATACTATAAGATAACACTCAGTTTCTTTTCAATTTCAACTCTGATTACAGCGATTGTCAACTTTTTTTATTTATTCATTTATTTATTTCAATTACCTCCAACAGGCAAAGCCCAATTACAGGTGTAAATCTCAATAAGTAAAGTAATTCTTAGGATATACTGAAGGAAATGGGTTTGAACAAAGAAATGAAATAAGCAGACATTGACAGTTGGCGTCATATCTGCTGAAGACATGTATAGTCACCCCTAAACCCCCTCCTCCCCCACCATATCAATCTGCAAGACTCTATGGCGCAATTATCAAATATTTATCGATCACCCTAATGATAGAGGTAACTCAATAACTGGAGGGACGGCAACATTGTCACAAGGTACAAATGACAACACTCTATATGCCATTAACAAATGTTCGAAGTCCAGATAATGCCGGCCATCAGACGCCCAAAAGTTGTTGTCCGTGTGACGTTGGAAAGACGTCCTTTTGACGTCGTTGATTTGGACAAGTGACGAACAAATGACCAGAATTTAGCGTTCCTATACACGTCATTTTCGTCAGTGTGGCTACCATATACGTATCAATAATCAATACGGATAATTTTTGAAGACAAATGACTATCCATAAGGAAAAGTGAGATACGATCAGACACATACTGCTTTGATCGAAAGGCTAGTAAACGCACCGAAACGCATGTCTTTGATGACTACGTATCATGCCACCAAATCCTTATGGATATACATTTGTTTCATATTTTTGGCTTCATCCTGGCACCCGTTATGATCCGTATTGTTTATTAATACGTATATGGTGGCTACCTGTGCCATAAAATCTTGATCACCTTGTATATTAAACTGGTTCGTGACTTTCAACTAACCCTGTATATTGACAGAGAACTTTTGTGAGGTTAGCCTTCATTTTGACAAAATAAATCAATTCTGTCAGGTATGCTTTGAGCATGCGATAATAAAATTTTGACTCGGCCATCATAAATTTAAAAATGAAGCAAATCAAAAACCAACTGGTGGATAAGGATGGGGAAATAGTTCAAGCAAAGGATAAAATTCTCAATGAGATGATTCTAGATTTCTCTATAGTAAACAAAGACGCTCGAGAACATTCCTCGCAAACCGAGGTATGCAAAACCATTTCTGGTATGTCACAAGAACCTTGGCCCGAAGATGTCGTACTTTACCAACCCTACAAAGATGAACAAATCATTCTACCAGATTTGTCCAACTGCCTAGCAGTAGAAGCCTTCTTGAGAATGTGCCATTTGGAGTACCAGATCGAGGAAAGAACTAACGCAGAAGCTATGTCACCAACCCTCAAGGTACCCTTCATCAAAGCCGACAGATACGTTCTTTCTGGCCTAGACGGTATATTGCAATTTGTGGAAACCAAGGGCATAACCTTAACTGACAAACTAGCACATGAGGAAAGATTCAACATGAAAGCTTACATGTCTTTATTAACAAACATGCTCGAACTAGCAGAACTTTATCTTTGCTGGTTCGACAAGCAAACGTACAATAACGTAACTTCTATCAGAAATGGGTTCGCTCATTCGTGGCCTTTGAACCATATCCAGAACAGGATGAAACAATTCAAAATTGAAAGGAAGCTGCAGGCCTTCGAATGGTATCAAAAGAGCATCGACGATGTGCTTTTGGACGTGGAGACTTGTTGCGAAGCGTTGAGTATCAGGCTAGATGGTAAGCCGTTATTTTTCGAAGGTGGTCCGACGGAGTTGGACGCTTTAGTCTTTGGTCATCTGTCAGCTATTCTGAGAGTACCATTGCCAAGGAATGAGTTGGCAAGCAAAGTCATGAAATTTCCCAGTCTGGTGCAGTTTGTGCGGAAGATAAATGCGGATTATTTCAAGTCATCGTGGAAATAAATATATGTATACCAATAAAAACATCACTATAATTCTTCTTCCTTTCATTCATCAAGGGTATGTAGGTACCTTATTAGGGTTCCATTGTGATACACTGTAATCTGATTTCTCGTATAAATTTTGGGTAGGTCATTACTATTTACTGACTAATCATTGATACCAATTTTTCAGATCTCTCACCCTTCTGATTATATTCCAAAGCATTTCATGTGGTAGAATGTCAAGAACGCGCAACATTCACCCTGCTACTCACTGCTCAGTGAGCGAAATATTCGAAATAATATGTTCGACTTCCATTCTCTAAATTACCCTCATTAACAAATATTTGAAAGATATCATCAAATTATGGGAACCCAAAATTCTGGTCTTTGTTAACTATCTTCTTTTTTCATATCTTGGAGCGCACAGAAGAAAATTCCTATAATGTTCGTGGAGAATCGCGCGTATCTAGGGAGGATAGGTCGAGAAGGTAGGTGTTGGAATTTTTTTGAACTTTCGGATGAGTTCTTAGGAATACTTTCATTGGCGAAGAATTCCAAAGCTAACGAACGAGTTTTGGTAGAGTGTTGTTCGACATTTTCCAAGGTTAGCGCTACTGAAACCTATGAACATTCAAAGAAATACTGTTTTTTGAATCAACAAACCTACGACTCGTTTCCCATTACTCCAGGCCCTGAGACTAGAGCAGAATATGTCGAGGCTAGAGGCATATGCAATGAGATAATTCGATTATCAAAGGATGCTCATAATGCCAAAATAAGATCAAAACTTGTTGAATGTCCTAACGGATCCCACTGGAAAATTGCAAGAGTACAACCAGTTCCTAAAAAAGGCAAAAAGACCCTACCTAGCAACTACAGACCGATCGCACTGCTATCTATCATTTCAAAGATCATGGAGAAAGCTATCAACATCGAGCTCATGAAATACTTGGAACATTCTGGTACTATCAACGATAGGCAATATGGCTTGAGATCAACTGGTGACCTGCTAGCTTACGTCTCACATATATGGCAGCAATCTATTGAAAAATATGGTGAAACCTTAGCCGTGGCACTTTATATTGTCAAGAAGTACAAATGTCTATGGAATAACTGTCGTTCATTTCTAGATTTTTATTCATAAATTAACTTTTCCAAATTAAAACATCTTTTACAGCGTTTCGATCAAGTCAAAGCGGAGTTCATAGACTCTAGTTCCGGTAAAATTTGCATGAAACCGCTTAGCTTGCGATGCGGGCTAAGCTATACGCCCGGTATCGAGCATTGCCATTGCGGAAAATTGCAATGTTAGCATCGATTCCAAATATAAATAGATTCCGAATCGATAAGCCATTCATTACTAATTATTCATCATGCATTGATTTACTCATTACTGATTCCTGATTACTAATTCATTACTATTTGATTATTACTAAGTAAAATGCATTTCGATAACACTTCACTTTACTCCGTAATTGAGTTACTAATTCACGAGTTGCTGCCAAAATGTGTACCGTCCTCCCGACTTTGATCCTGCTGGTCAACCCCATTATGTTAGATGTCATAATGTAAGTACTGTTTTCCCATGTTCTGAATGGTTGTTTTGTGTTGTGTTCCGTTTGGTAATTACTATGGTTTGTCTCTGCTACTTCGCCATGTGGCAAGCATTTATTCACGACTTTCCCATTAAATCAATAAACGTTAATTTTATACGAAAACTATCTTGACTCTTCATTTGGGAATGAATATGGTTGGGTGGTGAAATGATCAAAATCCTCTCATCAAGCCAAGCGAGTAGCCAAGTTGCGATCCATAGGAGGGCAACATCTGAGTTGCGACATGTGGTGGACACGCCGTTTGCCTAATAATCTACCAAAACCATCTGAGTTGCGACAATATCTCCAAGGCGAATTCGAGTCTGGCACAACAGACTCCTCGCCAAGCTTCCATCTTATGGCTTGCCTCCCCAGCTATGTTCCCTGCTAGCTAGTTTTCTCTCAAATAGGTCTTACCATGTAGTGGTCGACAGTGTTTCATCTGACTCTCTCATCATAAATGCTGGTTTTCCGCAAAGATCAATTCTAGAACCAACATATTTCTACTCCATATCAACGATTTGTTGAAAGCAACTCCATGTCCAGTACACAGCTTCGCGGATGATAGAACCCTCCACCGCCTTCTCTTCCAGGGCTCCAATACCAGCCAGGCGAGAAACGAACGAGGAAGAAATGTTGACAACATAAATATGGACTAGGCAACAATTCTCAAATGGGGATCCAATAACTTGGTAGATTTCAATGCAAACAAAACACAAGCATGCCGATCTCACTGTGCCCAATATAAGCTTGTCAGGAGTAACCATACCTTCGAACACATCCATTTCGATGCTTGGTATTACTTTCAGCAATAACCTTTATTGGGAAAATCACGTGAGATCGATTGCTAGAAGTGCATCCCAAAAACTTGGTTTTCTGTTTCGGGCCAGGAGCTATTTCACTTTCAGTCAGCTGCTTACGATCTATAAGGCACAAATCCGACTTGTCCTGGAATACTATACCCATATTCGGAGTGCAGCACCCAAACATGCCCTGAAACTGTTGGATTCTGTCCAAAAAAGGGCAATTCGTCTCGTGGGTGATGTCTCCCTGACAAACTCACTCACTTCTCCGGAACACCGTAGAAAAGTTGGCGATCTGGCTCTATTTTATAGATATTTCCATGGGCGATGCTCTTATGAAATATCAACAATTGTTCCTCCCTTGGCAGTCCCCGCGAGATTAACCCGTCGAGTTGAGGCTTCGCACCCTTTCGTGGTCTCTTTGGAGACCTGCAGAACATTTCTTTTCAAAGACTCGTTCATCCAACGAACAGCGAGGCTCTGGAACACATTGCCAAGGGAGATGTTCCCCGAGGTATATAACCTCCACAAATTTAAGAAGAACACCAATTCCTACCTCATTTCCCTTGGTTCCCACGATGTTCTCTGAACATTACAGGATATCCCTTTTCGTGGGAACGAGAACATGAAAGAAGTATACCTTCATCACTTTCTAACCCGAAAATCCTGATAATCCAGAATTTTACAAAAAAAACAAAGATTCCAAAGAACCCACAGGTTCCACTCCGTATACAGCCGGCCTGCGCCCGGTATAACCCAAGTTTTTTTCGTGATGTACTGCACTGAGAAAACTAGGCCAAGTAAATAGTTGATTGTGACAAGAAAATTTTCACCAACGGTAGGAAAATAAAGTACTTGAAGTAGGCAAAACAATATTTCTCGAAAAAAGGTTTCTGTTGTAAGTGATCAGGACATTTCTTGGTATTAACCAAATCGATATATTTTATGTAGTTTGAGATCGCTAATTATGAGTGAACATCAAACTAGTGTTAGGTTGATGAACACTCACCATTATTAAATTACTTTTCTGAGACGAAATCACTTGCTCTGAGCAAACTCATCGATGAAGACAATCTATCAAGTCGATTGGTGCAGGTAACCGCTCACCTGTGGTTATGCACATCTTGTCTCCGTTCGGATATCTCCGATATATTATTCGGATGCTCACGTCCAAAGCGACGACTCCCACTGTCCACGGATTCATTATGATGTTATAGCATTTGTGAAGTATGCATGCGTTCTCGCTAGTACAATTAATATTCCAAGTCTTGCAAGTGCTCTGAACAACTGCTATATCATATTCGTGAAGATTCTCAGTTCGTGTGCCGCGCTCTGAGCTGCGGAGTGTTGAGTTCTTGATCTGTTATTCTTTTGAAGAACATAATGAACTACATAAATCTCCCAGAACAGTACATAGTTTTTGACATCATATACAGGATTCTATTCCACTTCCGATAATGCTCGAAGTGGGAAAAAGCGGCTTTTAATGATTCCAATTCCACTATTTCATCTTCATCAGTGAAGAAAAAGAGATTGTACCAGTCCATATGATGGGCAGTATTTCTTGGCGCATGATCCTGATTTATCCGGTATCTATTGTGTCTCAATATTTGCCGTCAGCCTCACCATTTTGTGATTTCTCGATTAATCATTGATATACAATGAATTCTTGTAATGCACGAGTCGTTGTCTTTTTATCAAGGTTATCATTTTTCAGTAAACAATATAGGAAATTTCTCGTATAGTAGCGAGCTAATGACAGGTAAATAAGTTACTCATGACATGAGATGAATAAGTCATTGATGACGAGTAAATAAGTCACTATAATGATACATGTGATTAGGTTACAAATGACAAGTGAACAAGTCACTAATGACAAGTGAATACTTCACTAATATAAGTAAATGAGTCACTTATGACAAGTACTATGTTCACTTACGGTTATGAATCTGTGGTAGGTGTACATTTTCAAAAACGAAAATATTCTTGTGGTCATTAACTTTTTTCCTTGTCTCAAACAGGCTACAAGTTTTTACTTGCAACTATTAAATATTCTCCTAGGGTTAGTGATTTTTTTTTTCGTGATGCCCCCCCCCCCCCCTTGATTGAAATCTTGGTCACGCCCATGCATAGAATGTGATTTCCCTCACCACTTATGGACATTATAGATTCGTCAAAGAGGCGCACCAAAATGTTCCTGACGTTAGTGGCTTCAATCGTGAAATCGTCATCAGATAGGTGTCCGGGGTTCACTAGCAGATTCGCTTTCTTGAAGAAGTAGTTCGAAAGCTTTTCATCTTGTAGCTTCGGTATCATTTTGTCTAATAATTGCAGCACATGTGTCGATAGGTAGAGCGGAGACCATTTGATCATATCAGCTATAGGATTGTTCGAGTTTTCTTCTAGATCATCTAACAGGAGCGTCAGGAAAATGTACCTGTTCAGAATTCTGTAGGATACCTGTAAACACAATAGGTATACTATATTCCACGACTCTGTTGTATGAAATATTCATATTAATACATGTACTTCCTCAAGCAACACGCAATTTTTCACACCAGTGAATAATAGCAGTAAGAACCATAATTCACTGGTCTAGAGTTCCTAGGGTACGCGGTATAGCATATAAGGAACTTTTGACCACTGAATAATT